CGGGGCTCTCCCAGCCCGGCGCCCGCCCCGCTGCAGCCGGGCCTCCCTCTGCGCGCCCCTGGCCCCTGCCCCTCCAGTGCTCCGCGTCCCGTGCTCCCCTCTCAGCCACCTGTGACCCCATGCTCCCCCCAGCAGGGCGCCTCCATCCGTGGCCCGACGTGCCAGCCCCCCAAGCCCGTGTCGCCACTCGGCACCCCTCCTCCCCCAGCGTCTCCTCGTCTCCCAGCGCGGGGCCCACACCCCCGCCTTGCCCGGGCCCTGTCACTGTTGCGCTCTCGCAGCACAGGCCTGGACGGCTGACCCCTTAGGTTTTACCCTCAGAAACCTCCCACTGCTGCACACGGACAGCACCCCCGCACCCCGTGTTCCTGCTTCCATATGCATCATCCCACACCACACCCTACCCCAGTAGCTCCCTTGGCACCCCCGCCCTAAATATTGCTGTTTCTTCTAGGTATGGAGCTAAAATGCAGTGGTTAAGAGCACGGGCTATGGAGCTTGACGAGCCTGACTTTGAATCCCAGTTTCTCCACTGACTGAGCTGTGTGATCCCGGGCAAGTTACTAAGCTTCTCTGAACCTCAAATTACTCATCTGTAAAATGGGAATAATAATAGTCTCTACCTCTTACCTACCTCTTAGGGCTGGTGTGAGCATTAAATATATGGGAAGCTCTTAGAAGGATGTCTGGCAGAGAGTAAGCTCTCAATAAATTAAATGTTAACTATTACACTTAATTCACCCCAAGTATCCACTTCCCCTTAGTGACTTCCCACTACTGTATTTTCTCCAGCTTCCTCTGATTCTTAGAATTCACCCCTTCCTATCACCCTTGTTTGGTTTTTTAAATCGTCACCAGAGGATATTTTTTCCATTGCTTTTCAGATAAAAATGGAAAGGGAGGGGAGGAGTCATCATTGTGAGATCAACTGGTTGCCTCTCTCACAAGCCCTGACTGGGGCCAGGGATCAGAGCCTGAAACGGAGGCACCTGCCCTTGGCCAGAATTGAACCTGGGACCCTTCAGTCTGCAGGCTGACGCTCTAACCACTGAGCCAAACCAGGCAGGGCTCCTGTCACCTTTTGATTCTCTCCCAGTTCTCTTTTCATGTCGGTTTTACCCAGGCCAAAGCTGAACTATTCTGAAGTCCTCTCTCTCAATTCTGAAAGACCCTGTCTCTGCCTAATTCCTCCGAGATGTATATGTCTGGGAGTGGGTGGCAGAGAGGAATTGCCAGCCACTGACCTTACTAGTGAGTAGCTAAGATGGGGAGAGTGACAATAGAGCTTCTAGAAGCAGTCATTCTGTTTAAGAAAAAAATCTCAAAAATTAGGTCTCCTTAAAATTTTTCCAGTCACACTGACCTCCTCCTCTCTCTTGTTGGTTGGATGTGACTTGTTTCTGTCATCCAGCCCCACTCAATTTTCTGTTTTTATA